GACGATGGGTGTCCAGGCCAGCTCATGCACACCTCGATTAATCCCACGGGACCATGAAGTTTACAACCGGGTACTCACCTCAGTGGCCTTGAGGATACTCAAACTGGTAACCATTGGGGAGTAAACTCAAAGCCTAACTACTGAGCTACCCTTCAGGGCTGAGAGTTCAAATATACCACAGAAAAATTTTGCAGATCAACTTTTATTGGTTTCAACAATATGTAACGGACGATTAGCACTTTTTTCTAACATCTAGACAGACTAAAAAAAATGAGAAAGAAATCATGATAAAAAAAGCAAATTAAATTACATGGACATGTTAGTCAAGTCAATTGCCTGTGTTGGAAGGAAGTAGCATGTATATATGTAAACAACTTCAATTCACCTTGCCTGTGTTGGAAGGAAGTAGCATGTATATATGTAAACAACTTCAATTCACCGAGACAATCTTTAAAATAGTATATAATATTATGTTTGTGACGCTGGGTGTGAGAATAAGAAGCGTCATATTAGGTGTATCCAAGAACAAATAGATCCAAAACTAGGATGAATTGGGTACTTAATCCTTGGAAAATCCTCAATATACAAAACTTATGTACCTAAAATAAACTGAATAAAATAAAGATGGTGCAGGAATCACTACAAGAAATTAGAAGACTCACATTGTCATCTAGCATATGTAACATGCTAATTAGTCCTCCCAATGCCGAAACCTTGGTATTTGACAGGAACATCATCAAATTCACATCCTGCAAGTAGTGCAACATAGTTTCTGCAATTTCTTTTGATGTTTTCCATGCTGATAGATCCCACAATTCTAATCCCAAATCTGATCGTAAACGAACAGTGTCATACAAGTAGACATCCTTGAACTCTGGTAAAAAACAATCACGTTTATGTTTATATGTATCCAAGAAGCTCGAGTCTATCAGATACTGCGAGAGCTCTTTGAATGGTCTATTATCGATGAAACGGCCCTCCAGTTCTCCTTGCATGTGGTAAAATAGATCATTGAGTACTAAATTGTGCAAATCTTTTCCTTCACTGAAATTCCACGGAAGGAAAAGTAGACATCAGCGCAAGACAATTTGCTGTAGAACAACGGCAAAGAAATTGACATCATTACTGAATTTCAGGTGCAGAACATAAGCCAGATAATGTAAATTTACTGAATCTTCTAAGCGTCTTCCTGCTAAAAACCTTAGTATTCTTTCTAGTGCACAGCTCCCACGCATGTAGTGCTTTTAAGTGTCACTACCACCATGTGACAGGCAAGAAAACAGAAGGGAAAAACGATACACAATTAAACAAATAATGTAGAAGAAAATCCCGGTCCTAAACCAAGCTATAACTCCTGTTTTGACAGTCAATATGCTGGAAACCGGGAAATATTATATGCACGCTTCAGCTCCTAGATATAGTGCAATAGAGAGAAAAAAAGGGAACAACGATATGTCATTCTGAAAGCAACTAGCACTAAATCAAGAAATAGACGAGCAATATTGAAGCTACGAAGCCATCAAAGTCGAAGCATATATGTGAGAGCCCACAAGAAGCCCTTCCTGCGTAGCATAGGTGGAAGCCGAAGAAAGCCTTCTTCCTGGAGGCCCAAGCCATCAGTGAGATATCACTCTATTGACTTTCAACAGCAAAATCATACCATTGTTCAAAAGACAGAACCTTTAAGGTATGAAGCAGCAAGAACAAATTAAATCCTAATAGTGGTTTAAAACTAACACAAAAAAAATAAAAAATAAAAATCAGAGAAACAACACATTTCTAAGAATAATCTCAATTGCATAATATTCCATGTGAATGAGGGATTGTTGATAAAGTACCTATAACCACGCTCTGTGTATTGTGTTAACAATTCTGAAAAGGCTGGCAACTTGCTCAACTACAGACAGGAACAAGAATCTGAATTAGAAGTTTCAGCAAGGGTACATCTCGTCAAATGTAATAAGCGTTAAAAGAAAATGTATTATTGCATAAGAATTTTCATGACCTAGTAATCAATAACTATTTGGTAATTATTTTATTTCCTGTTAAGGGTGTGGGGCTTAAACTGCTTATAGATATTGCAAGAAACAGTAACTTAACCAATCAAGTAAAAGAGAAACCTTCTGTGACAAAATAGTTATTTTTTCAACCAGTGATACAGACAAACTTCCGAAGTCACCAGTTTTTAATTTTCGCATCATATGCACAGCAAATAAACAAGCAGCAACCTGCAAAGTTAAACAATGAACATACGATTTTAGAATCAACGAATCAATGTTTGGACCGAATCTCAGCAAATGATAAGAAAAAAACATATCAGATGTATCAACAGTTCCAACAAAGGATGCAGATGAAAGAAGGGATACAGACAAAGCATACATAACTCACCTTTGCACGGATGTGAGTACTGTTATCATATTCACATGAAACACATGACTTGATCAGGTCAGTCAACAATGAATTCTCACACCAGGTTGAGAAGATATCCTTTAGGCTAGTGAGATTGGCATCTTTTGGAATTTGCGAATCATCTGACTTTTCTCCTCCATCAGTTGATTTAGACGATTGCTTTACAAGTAATGCAGCACGCATAAGCTTCTTTTGCAGGAATATCTCATAAGCCAATATTTCAAAAACCTTCGATTGACATTGATGTCCGTAAGCTAGATTTTGAAGCTCCATTTCGGTCAAATTTCCAGACAAATCATCTTTACTACTGGAAATAAGCGTGACATTGTTGGTCAATTGTCTCCAGAACTTATCCGATTTTTTTAGCAGCTCCAAAATATTTGTGAACTGAGGGGCACTTTGCCACAGTGCCTTGAGGAAATCCAACACATTTAACAATATAGTGGGTTTGCTGAAATAGAAATCATCAAATCAAAGATGTACTGTGGTCTAGAAAGAAAAGAGAACTGTGTAGGTCGATGTAATTAGTTAAAAAGATAGGCAACCTTCTCATTAGATCCTCAGATCTTCTAACATATTGCAAAATTGCATCTAAAAGACTGATTTCCTTGGAGAGCAACAATCCATAGTCAGCTTTATCTGGCTGCTGCTCACAGTCAGTATTGCCCAGTTGGGCATTTAAATTCTCTTTGGAAGCAATAACGGCAATGCAAAAGGCAGGCTGCAATTAGAAACAATCAGCACCAAAAGAATGCCAATAAAATCTAAATACAACATATTACGAAGATTGAAAACAATTTTTTTTTTTTTTTTTGGCTAGCAATGAGAACCTGATGTAAAACCAAAGGCAATAAGGCAGAGGCCACAAGAGATTTTTGTAAAATGATGTTACATAGATGTTTAGCGACATCAAACACTCACCAATACATTCCCCATAGATGGAGATACGAAACATACAATAACAATGCACAAGTAAAGGGAGGAAACAGTTTCAAATTTGAAATTATAGAATAGATCTCTATCTTTTTGCCTTTCCCCCAACTATATATCCAGAAAGCTATTAATGCGGAGGCATACAATTCACAATTAGTAGGATAAGCTGACTGCAACTTCAGCAAATATCAAAGCAATTGGCAACAAGCTCTTAAAGATGAACAGTTGGTCTATGTCAAAGCAAGTGCATGTGTAGCTGTGGAAGTAGTTCAACTGCATAATTTTGTTCCAGTATGGTGCTATGCAAATGGATATAGGAGCAACCAGCCATGAGTCAATCAAAAAAATACAATTCAAATCGGCATAATCTTTTTCGATCAAACAGAACTTAAAGTGATAAATGACTATGAACAAGATATCCTGAAACTCAATCTTTTACTCATACTTAAAAAAGGATAGCCTACGGAAGCTACAGATACAGAATCATGTGGGACATTACTTATTACACACCATGGTGGCAGTTGAGGAAGTCTTGACTTCAATCAAAAGACGAGACTTAGAACTTCAAACCTGATAGCGTGCAGAAAATATGAGCAGCTTCAATGTGGCAACAATGAGATCTTCACTCCAAGGTAACTGCTCAGAAATAATTCTATAAATAGAATTCTTACAAATGTCAACCTGCCACGAAAATTTAGTCAATCTAAGATGGTCTACAGATTTTCTCAGCTGAAGAAAATAATCACAGTTTCATACACTGGGCCAAACCTGCTTATCATCCAGACCAAAACTGGCATTGCTAAATGTAGATGAATGCGAAAAATCCACAACAAATAACATGGACAGCAACCTTGCAGCACTAGTCTGTATCTTCTGTGTGAAACAATGAAAAAGGAATTGTAACCAACGAAATGCAGCACAAACCATCTAGAAGGTAAGCCACTGAATATATTATTGGTCCGTATGAGATGCAACAAATACACGCAAAAAGGTGCCTGCATAACTCACAACCATTTCAAACTTAAGATGTATATGTAATTTAATCAGTCAGTGAAGCTTGAGTTAGTATGATCATAGGATGTCAGTCTCAGTCATCTTTCCCTTCGCAGAAGCAAAAATTGCACATGCCAACTTCAGATCTAGCTTAATAAGAAATATCGGAAGCCATCACACACAGAAGGTATTAACAAGAACCCAAATAGTGCAAGATAACACCAAGTAGTGATTCTCTGAAATTTAATTAATATCTTATCTTTGAACACCTTCATATGTTTTAAAAGTGATATAACCTAAAGATGATGATGAAAATTGTCATTAATGAATAGTATGGAAAATTGATCATACAGGATTGTGGAAGTATGATAACAACGACATGGCAGCAGCAGCCACAGGTATTGGCTTTGTAGTTGGTGACAGCATTGCTTGATGAAATACTGAAATACTCACAAGATCCTGAAAAAATTGCATAAGCAACTGTTATTTTGTACTGAAATAAGAAGTTAAAATACATCAACCATATATGCATTGATAAATGTCAGTAATAGTGTTATAAGAATCGTAAAGCATGATTAGGCGCGGAGGCCAAGCTTCATGCTTTATGAGCCTATGCGTAAAAAAGCTTTTTCTTGTTTTTAATATTATTTTAAAATTTTAATCATTCAATAATTAATATAATACATACCAAACATCTAAAATTATAATATACTATGCCCTTGTTTGAGCCACATTCATCTAAAAATTCATTTTTTTCAAAATTCATTTTCAACCACAAATTCTTCAATAAAATAATATTACACGCATATCCAAAAATTTTCCTTAATTTTTAACCACACATCCTCTATCAATCTACTATTCAAAATGCATTCTTTCCCTCAAAATAGGACTCAAACAAGGGCTATATTTACTTAATAATTCATGAAATTAGTCAATTATAAAATTTCAAATTTTCACAAATGCAAAAGCTAGACTATTTTCTAATGTGTTTCATTTTTTATTTTTTTTTACAAATAAAGTCATTTAAAAACTTGAAACTAAAATCAAATAAAAAGCTTTTAAAAATGGAAAAAAAAATACTAATAAAGCGTGACTAGGAGCGCGGTTAATTTTGCGCTCTCTGCCAAGGCATGGTGTTCCGCCTGATCCTAGGCGGTGCCGCGTTTTTTAGAAGACTGGTCACTACAAGAGGTCTCCAAAATACCGATCAATTAGAGAATAACTAGTCACTCCCTCTCAATATTCCTTTTAGAGTTGAACCTTAAAAGTACTCCCTCAGTAAAGAACTACCACAGGTTTCCAAGTAGCTCTCTCTCTCCAGTGAGTCTAAGTAGGAGTTTAATCGAATTTTCTTCTTGATGATACTATACACAAATCAGTGTCATTCTGTTGACGGACATTGAGGCAATTCTGTATATCCTCCAGGTACTTTGGCAGATTAACAAAGATGATTAAAAAATGTAACACTGGATAAGAGTTATATTATTCCAGCACTATAGTATAGCAATAGGCAAGACAGAAGATGAAGGAGTTAATCAACCACCCAATCCCACCCCAAAGGAGAAGCAGCGCTGTTCAACATGCACAGACGATGCGACCCGACGCCAATCAGGGTAGTATATAAATCAAAACGTAAAGGGAATGTGAATCGAGTGTGAAGAAAAATTGGAAGGTAAGGGGCACAACTTATGTATTAGATCTTCATTTACAGATAAAATCCCCCCAAAAAATCAGATTTTCTTTTTTCCCTTAAATATCTGCAACACATCACTGTAATCAGTTCCCTTCCATACAAAAAAAAAAAAATAATAATAATAATAATAATTGTGAGGTGGTCAATTTAGTCAAGGTTGAAGGCATGCACCATCATTCAGTTTTCAGAAATTTTGAAACTAAGCAAATACCAAGTACAATAACTTTTGAAAAGCATACCTTCGAGAGATCAGATACCATACTGGCAAGAACATCCAAACCAGAAGATATGGCCAGTTGCAATCCTTCGATATCCGTCATCTCAATCAGGCGGCTAAACTGAAGTTTCTATTGGGCGCAGGTGTAAAATGAAAACAAGAAAAAATTGAGATTAATAAGGAGACTATGATTTTCACATTGTGCAAAAATATACTTTAGGATAAGGAAAAAAAGGCAGCATAGTCAACCTCCAACCCATGTGTAGTTGTACAAACAATTCGGAAAAGTGCACTGTGGATGGAAGCATCACAAAGCAGAATATCTCGAACGACCTCACCAAGTTTCCAATGGGATAAGACTGACAATATATATTTCACAACTTCAAGAGCCTAAAAAATGAATAAACCATGAGATCAATTCTGTCACACCCACAAGAACATTTCTTAACAGACAAAACACACAAACCTACTAATAATATTCAGCCTACACAAGCAAAGAACAGTAGTAGGCATTTTGAAGTCAAAAAGTTGGATGCCCAACAATAACATCCATGTCCTACTACTAAGGAAATGAAACCCATTTCAACAGAAATTTGGAATTGAAAATCTAGAAATTCATCTTAGTTTCTATCATACGAAAAAATATGAGCATATCAAGTGAAAAATAAACATCCTTATCAAAGGAAATAAGGCAGTTTCTATATGCCACTACAGTTGATTCAAAATAAATTACAAACATTGAACAAAGATGTCTGGTCCACTGACGTAAGCTAAACCTGTGAAGTCCAATACCTTCACGTGCTTAACTAAACAAAAGTATCAGATGTTCGCATGCCTAAGGAAGTCACAAGTAACATCACTGTTCATTGGATTCGGAAGGGCCTACTTCGTTAGGACTGGGGAATTGTGTCGATTCTTCCTGAACAGCCTGGAATGGAAATAAAATGAGAAGACGGCTTTTTATTATCATGCAGGATGGTTGTGAGAAAAAGGGTAGGGATCCTTGTACATACATGGTGTGTTGGGACATTTTTGGTGATCACAGGAATGGCTGAGGAACACTGAAGTTGTATATACAGGTTAGACCAGTTATTATGATCATTATTGAGCCCAGTTAAGGAGGGTTCCAATGATCCTAGGAATGGTTGCGACTTATGAACCACACACAAGTGTCTTGTGCATCATTACGTTATTGGAAACTTCGCTGTGTCAGGTTAAAGATTCTCGTGCAAAGTTAGAGTCGAGGGGCAGCCCTAAGCAATGACTTGAGCAAGATGTTTCAGAGGAAGTTGCAGATAACTTGCAATTGCATATGCACATAAAGTCTTACTCATTGGGCAATATCTCTCATAGTTTTTGATTGGTGAAGTGTGATGAGACATCAGCTCAGTAGACCTACATCCAGATCTTCTGATGGAACTGAGATGTGGAATACATGGACATAACCTGTTACAGTTGTTCTAAAGGATTTCTCTTTACATTCTTGTAGGGATTGTAAGGACCCATGATCTATCTATTGAGATTGCTATTACCTTGGAAACTTCTTGTTTACATACACTCTTTGCTATGATCTTACTGCAATTTTCAGTTTCAAACTTTACCGCCTTTTTATGACTTGAAGATCAGATTTTCCAAGTGAGAAAAGATTTAAAACTGAGTTGAGCATCATCTGTCTTATGTTACCAACAAAGGGATTTGGAAAACCAAGCACATTATATATTTTCGTGTGAGAGGAAGACAAAGATGGATACCTTTGTTGTCACCTTCCAGCGTGCATGCTTCACTTTATATTTCCAGAATTCATGATTAACAAGAACATACTGAAGGGAGAAAACAACAAGTGCAAGAACAACATCATTTTCAATTCCAATCTCCACGAGCCTCATTGTGAAGTCTAGCACTGCAAAATCATAAACCACAAAAGTTAAATACAGTTGGAAGGTTGCTTTTCTTAAAAACCAATCAATTAGATTTCCAAGGTTATTAAAATTTAATGAATGACAAGTTTTTCTCGAGGAAACAAATAAGAAGATAATTTGTCAAATGATACCACAAGGAACAGATAAGAAAAATCTCAATAGTAAGTTGTGAGAAGAAACCAAATTACACAAAACATGAAGAGCATTACATGGAACATGTGTTGGAAAATACGGAAATTTCAATCCAAAGATTAGGTTCAGAGCAGTTCTCCAATCCCACCTAATAAAATTTGAACTTTTTGTGTGCGCCAATTTCCCAAATCATATCCTACTAGACAAACAGAGCATGTGATACAGCACCTAATCCACCTTAATAAGTACAGATGTTTAGATTCAATACAGAATAGATTCATTCAGTTATTAAAAATAGAGATTGCTGCCACTGATAGTGTCTAAAATGAAATCGGTTACTAGGAAATCTAACGAGATTTCAAAATACAGCTAATCAAGCAATGGTATTGTTAATTGAGCCAAGAAAAAGGACAAATAATACACAGTTAGCATTTGTAACTCAAAAATATATGCAAAATCTTTCCATTAAAGGAACCAATACTCTTTCATGTGTTATTGGAAGGGGTAAATTGGCCCCAGGGTGTTGGGAGACAGATAGAAAGGAAGGATAGTTGCAGAACCACTGAGATTAAGGCTCAAGCTTAATTGCTGAACCAACTCCACTGTGTAAGCGTTAACACTTTCATTTCAAATCAAAGATTAAACAAACTGATAATAAGAGAGAGGAAAATAACTTGCCCGAAAGTGTCAGCGAGCAATCACTTTGTTCACAATCAATCAAGAGCATCTTGGCAAGCCTTCCAGAAAGCAACCACGATCCACTGAAGCAATTCAAGTGGAAGTAACCGCAATATAAGTTTCCTTTGATTTTCATATATACTATGTGCACTTGTGCATGAATTATGACTTGCATGCATGCATGCATACATATATACATACATGCGCGTGAGAAATGCAGGACGAATTAAAAAAATAGAAAGAAGAAGCAAGAAAGAGGGGACAAACCGGAGAAGAAGCAGAAATTCATGGGGGAGGGGGGGAGGGAGAGGAAGGAGAAGTCATAGGCAACAAACCACCAAAATATTCTTCAATTCATCAAAATTAATGAAATTACATCTCAATTAGGTTTAAATAGTAAAGACTGAAACCCTAAGTAGAATGGACTTGGGCCAACACAAGCCCAATTACATAAATAAAATCTAAAACATAAATAAAGTCCAACTAAAAATAAATAAAAAGTAGATGTCCTCATCAATTCTCCCGGGGTGGGAGAAAAACTCGACCCCGTCGAGTTGATAGATAGTATAGGCTACAGTCAATCTGATACTCCAAATGCGTCAAGTCAAGCTACGGGAGACGATCTTTCTGATGAACCAAGTAACGAAATTTCATGATTGATAGTACTGAAAACTGTAGCTTATTCCCAAGAATATGATCTGACCAAGGGGGGCGATCTTTCCTTCTAACAAAGTACTGATACTGGACTCCAAATAACCAATACTCATGCACCTCATCTTCAAGATTTTCACATAAGTGTATATAATGAGGAGCATAAGAAGCACGTCGATCTACCCAACAAACAAGGAAGTACCGAATCTTGCCATCATTGGTCAATACAACACGTTCATCTAAAATAACATCAATTTTATCTTTGTGTGCTGTGATAGATGGTATTGAAGTAGAAATATCGACATAATCAAATTGGGGGTCCATAAAGCTAAGTAGAATTAGATCATCAAAGGAAGTAACATGGTATTTGTAAGTAATGAAGTCCTCAATATTTAAAGCAGAGTGGTAGCCAAAATGTGATGAAAGGGCAATGACATGTGCATATGAACCAACATCTTTAAAACTTTAAAAGTACCGGCTTGCAATATAACATAATCCCCAATATTAAATTCAAAATATCGTTTATGCAAATTAGCTTGAGGTTTATATAAAGCATTACTTGCGTCATGTTGTTTATTGATCTCAATATGCAAGTTATGAAAATGTGATACAACTACCTCAACTGACATAAACACACTAGCATGTGGGTACATGGGAATAAGGTCTAAAGGTTTCCTAGGTTCACAACCATGAATAACTTCAAAGGAATTTAGACCTAAAGACCAGTTCACAGGATTGTTATATGTAATTTGAACAGTTGGAGGAATCAAGTCCCAATTCCCAAGATTTTTCTGGACTAGAGACTTGAATAAATTGCTAGGACTTTGGTTAACGACTTCATTTTGACCATCAGCCTGGGGTTGGTCTACAGTGGAGAATTTCGATTTAGTGCTAACCATAGGCAACTGGGCTCAACTCTGGTAAAAAACAATCACGTTTATGTTTATATGTATCCAAGAAGCTCGAGTCTATCAGATACTGCGAGAGCTCTTTGAATGGTCTATTATCGATGAAACGGCCCTCCAGTTCTCCTTGCATGTGGTAAAATAGATCATTGAGTACTAAATTGTGCAAATCTTTTCCTTCACTGAAATTCCACGGAAGGAAAAGTAGACATCAGCGCAAGACAATTTGCTGTAGAACAACGGCAAAGAAATTGACATCATTACTGAATTTCAGGTGCAGAACATAAGCCAGATAATGTAAATTTACTGAATCTTCTAAGCGTCTTCCTGCTAAAAACCTTAGTATTCTTTCTAGTGCACAGCTCCCACGCATGTAGTGCTTTTAAGTGTCACTACCACCATGTGACAGGCAAGAAAACAGAAGGGAAAAACGATACACAATTAAACAAATAATGTAGAAGAAAATCCCGGTCCTAAACCAAGCTATAACTCCTGTTTTGACAGTCAATATGCTGGAAACCGGGAAATATTATATGCACGCTTCAGCTCCTAGATATAGTGCAATAGAGAGAAAAAAAGGGAACAACGATATGTCATTCTGAAAGCAACTAGCACTAAATCAAGAAATAGACGAGCAATATTGAAGCTACGAAGCCATCAAAGTCGAAGCATATATGTGAGAGCCCACAAGAAGCCCTTCCTGCGTAGCATAGGTGGAAGCCGAAGAAAGCCTTCTTCCTGGAGGCCCAAGCCATCAGTGAGATATCACTCTATTGACTTTCAACAGCAAAATCATACCATTGTTCAAAAGACAGAACCTTTAAGGTATGAAGCAGCAAGAACAAATTAAATCCTAATAGTGGTTTAAAACTAACACAAAAAAAATAAAAAATAAAAAATAAAAATCAGAGAAACAACACATTTCTAAGAATAATCTCAATTGCATAATATTCCATGTGAATGAGGGATTGTTGATAAAGTACCTATAACCACGCTCTGTGTATTGTGTTAACAATTCTGAAAAGGCTGGCAACTTGCTCAACTACAGACAGGAACAAGAATCTGAATTAGAAGTTTCAGCAAGGGTACATCTCATCAAATGTAATAAGCGTTAAAAGAAAATGTATTATTGCATAAGAATTTTCATGACCTAGTAATCAATAACTATTTGGTAATTATTTTATTTCCTGTTAAGGGTGTGGGGCTTAAACTGCTTATAGATATTGCAAGAAACAGTAACTTAACCAATCAAGTAAAAGAGAAACCTTCTGTGACAAAATAGTTATTTTTTCAACCAGTGATACAGACAAACTTCCGAAGTCACCAGTTTTTAATTTTCGCATCATATGCACAGCAAATAAACAAGCAGCAACCTGCAAAGTTAAACAATGAACATACGATTTTAGAATCAACGAATCAATGTTTGGACCGAATCTCAGCAAATGATAAGAAAAAAACATATCAGATGTATCAACAGTTCCAACAAAGGATGCAGATGAAAGAAGGGATACAGACAAAGCATACATAACTCACCTTTGCACGGATGTGAGTACTGTTATCATATTCACATGAAACACATGACTTGATCAGGTCAGTCAACAATGAATTCTCACACCAGGTTGAGAAGATATCCTTTAGGCTAGTGAGATTGGCATCTTTTGGAATTTGCGAATCATCTGACTTTTCTCCTCCATCAGTTGATTTAGACGATTGCTTTACAAGTAATGCAGCACGCATAAGCTTCTTTTGCAGGAATATCTCATAAGCCAATATTTCAAAAACCTTCGATTGACATTGATGTCCGTAAGCTAGATTTTGAAGCTCCATTTCGGTCAAATTTCCAGACAAATCATCTTTACTACTGGAAATAAGCGTGACATTGTTGGTCAATTGTCTCCAGAACTTATCCGATTTTTTTAGCAGCTCCAAAATATTTGTGAACTGAGGGGCACTTTGCCACAGTGCCTTGAGGAAATCCAACACATTTAACAATATAGTGGGTTTGCTGAAATAGAAATCATCAAATCAAAGATGTACTGTGGTCTAGAAAGAAAAGAGAACTGTGTAGGTCGATGTAATTAGTTAAAAAGATAGGCAACCTTCTCATTAGATCCTCAGATCTTCTAACATATTGCAAAATTGCATCTAAAAGACTGATTTCCTTGGAGAGCAACAATCCATAGTCAGCTTTATCTGGCTGCTGCTCACAGTCAGTATTGCCCAGTTGGGCATTTAAATTCTCTTTGGAAGCAATAACGGCAATGCAAAAGGCAGGCTGCAATTAGAAACAATCAGCACCAAAAGAATGCCAATAAAATCTAAATACAACATATTACGAAGATTGAAAACAATTTTTTTTTTTTTTTTTGTTAGCAATGACAACATTTTTTTTTTTTTTTGGCTAGCAATGAGAACCTGATGTAAAACCAAAGGCAATAAGGCAGAGGCCACAAGAGATTTTTGTAAAATGATGTTACATAGATGTTTAGCGACATCAAACACTCACCAATACATTCCCCATAGATGGAGATACGAAACATACAATAACAATGCACAAGTAAAGGGAGGAAACAGTTTCAAATTTGAAATTATAGAATAGATCTCTATCTTTTTGCCTTTCCCCCAACTATATATCCAGAAAGCTATTAATGCGGAGGCATACAATTCACAATTAGTAGGATAAGCTGACTGCAACTTCAGCAAATATCAAAGCAATTGGCAACAAGCTCTTAAAGATGAACAGTTGGTCTATGTCAAAGCAAGTGCATGTGTAGCTGTGGAAGTAGTTCAACTGCATAATTTTGTTCCAGTATGGTGCTATGCAAATGGATATAGGAGCAACCAGCCATGAGTCAATCAAAAAAATAAAGGTGTGCAATTCAAATCGGCATAATCTTTTTCGATCAAACAGAACTTAAAGTGATAAATGACTATGAACAAGATATCCTGAAACTCAATCTTTTACTCATACTTAAAAAAGGATAGCCTACGGAAGCTACAGATACAGAATCATGTAGGACATTACTTATTACACACCATGGTGGCAGTTGAGGAAGTCTTGACTTCAATCAAAAGACGAGACTTAGAACTTCAAACCTGATAACGTGCAGAAAATATGAGCAGCTTCAATGTGGCAACAATGAGATCTTCACTCCAAGGTAACTGCTCAGAAATAATTCTATAAATAGAATTCTTACAAATGTCAACCTGCCACGAAAATTTAGTCAATCTAAGATGGTCTACAGATTTTCTCAGCTGAAGAAAATAATCACAGTTTCATACACTGGGCCAAACCTGCTTATCATCCAGACCAAAACTGGCATTGCTAAATGTAGATGAATGCGAAAAATCCACAACAAATAACATGGACAGCAACCTTGCAGCACTAGTCTGTATCTTCTGTGTGAAACAATGAAAAAGGAATTGTAACCAACGAAATGCAGCACAAACCATCTAGAAGGTAAGCCACTGAATATATTATTGGTCCGTATGAGATGCAACAAATACACGCAAAAAGGTGCCTGCATAACTCACAACCATTTCAAACTTAAGATGTATATGTAATTTAATCAGTCAGTGAAGCTTGAGTTAGTATGATCATAGGATGTCAGTCTCAGTCATCTTTCCCTTCGCAGAAGCAAAAATTGCACATGCCAACTTCAGATCTAGCTTAATAAGAAATATCGGAAGCCATCACACACAGAAGGTATTAACAAGAACCCAAATAGTGCAAGATAACACCAAGTAGTGATTCTCTGAAATTTAATTAATATCTTATCTTTGAACACCTTCATATGTTTTAAAAGTGATATAACCTAAAGATGATGATGAAAATTGTCATTAATGAATAGTATGGAAAATTGATCATACAGGATTGTGGAAGTATGATAACAACGACATGGCAGCAGCAGCCACAGGTATTGGCTTTGTAGTTGGTGACAGCATTGCTTGATGAAATACTGAAATACTCACAAGATCCTGAAAAAATTGCATAAGCAACTGTTATTTTGTACTGAAATAAGAAGTTAAAATACATCAACCATATATGCATTGATAAATGTCAGTAATAGTGTTATAAGAATCGTAAAGCATGATTAGGCGCGGAGGCCAAGCTTCATGCTTTATGAGCCTATGCGTAAAAAAGCTTTTTCTTGTTTTTAATATTATTTTAAAATTTTAATCATTCAATAATTAATATAATACATACCAAACATCTAAAATTATAATATACTATGCCCTTGTTTGAGCCACATTCATCTAAAAATTCATTTTTTTCAAAATTCATTTTCAACCACAAATTCTTCAATAAAATAATATTACACGCATATCCAAAAATTTTCCTTAATTTTTAACCACACATCCTCTATCAATCTACTATTCAAAATGCATTCTTTCCCTCAAAATAGGACTCAAACAAGGGCTATATTTACTTAATAATTCATGAAATTAGTCAATTATAAAATTTCAAATTTTCACAAATGCAAAAGCTAGACTATTTTCTAATGTGTTTCATTTTTTATTTTTTTTTACAAATAAAGTCATTTAAAAACTTGAAACTAAAATCAAATAAAAAGCTTTTAAAAATGGAAAAAAAAATACTAATAAAGCGTGACTAGGAGCGCGGTTAATTTTGCGCTCTCTGCCAAGGCATGGTGTTCCGCCTGATCCTAGGCGGTGCCGCGTTTTTTAGAAGACTGGTCACTACAAGAGGTCTCCAAAATACCGATCAATTAGAGAATAACTAGTCACTCCCTCTCAATATTCCTTTTAGAGTTGAACCTTAAAAGTACTCCCTCAGTAAAGAACTACCACAGGTTTCCAAGTAGCTCTCTCTCTCCAGTGAGTCTAAGTAGGAGTTTAATCGAATTTTCTTCTTGATGATACTATACACAAATCAGTGTCATTCTGTTGACGGACATTGAGGCAATTCTGTATATCCTCCAGGTACTTTGGCAGATTAACAAAGATGATTAAAAAATGTAACACTGGATAAGAGTTATATTATTCCAGCACTATAGTATAGCAATAGGCAAGACAGAAGATGAAGGAGTTAATCAACCACCCAATCCCACCCCAAAGGAGAAGCAGCGCTGTTCAACATGCACAGACGATGCGACCCGACGCCAATCAGGGTAGTATATAAATCAAAACGTAAAGGGAATGTGAATCGAGTGTGAAGAAAAATTGGAAGGTAAGGGGCACAACTTATGTATTAGATCTTCATTTACAGATAAAATCCCCCCAAAAAATCAGATTTTCTTTTTTCCCTTAAATATCTGCAACACATCACTGTAATCAGTTCCCTTCCATACAAAAAAAAAAAAAATAATAATAATAATAATTGTGAGGTGGTCAATTTAGTCAAGGTTGAAGGCATGCACCATCATTCAGTTTTCAGAAATTTTGAAACTAAGCAAATACCAAGTACAATAACTTTTGAAAAGCATACCTTCGAGAGATCAGATACCATACTGGCAAGAACATCCAAACCAGAAGATATGGCCAGTTGCAATCCTTCGATATCCGTCATCTCAATCAGGCGGCTAAACTGAAGTTTCTATTGGGCGCAGGTGTAAAATGAAAACAAGAAAAGAATTGAGATTAATAAGGAGACTATGATTTTCACATTGTGCAAAAATATACTTTAGGATAAGGAAAAAAAGGCAGCATAGTCAACCTCCAACCCATGTGTAGTTGTACAAACAATTCGGAAAAGTGCACTGTGGATGGAAGCATCACAAAGCAGAATATCTCGAACGACCTCACCAAGTTTCCAATGGGATAAGACTGACAATATATATTTCACAACTTCAAGAGCCTAAAAAATGAATAAACCATGAGATCAATTCTGTCACACCCACAAGAACATTTCTTAACAGACAAAACACACAAACCTACTAATAATATTCAGCCTACACAAGCAAAGAACAGTAGTAGGCATTTTGAAGTCAAAAAGTTGGATGCCCAACAATAACATCCATGTCCTACTACTAAGGAAATGAAACCCATTTCAACAGAAATTTGGAATTGAAAATCTAGAAATTCATCTTAGTTTCTATCATACGAAAAAATATGAGCATATCAAGTGAAAAATAAACATCCTTATCAAAGGAAATAAGGCAGTTTCTATATGCCACTACAGTTGATTCAAAATAAATTACAAACATTGAACAAAGATGTCTGGTCCACTGACGTAAGCTAAACCTGTGAAGTCCAATACCTTCACGTGCTTAACTAAACAAAAGTATCAGATGTTCGCATGCCTAAGGAAGTCACAAGTAACATCACTGTTCATTGGATTCGGAAGGGCCTACTTCGTTAGGACTGGGGAATTGTGTCGATTCTTCCTGAACAGCCTGGAATGGAAATAAAATGAGAAGACGGCTTTTTATTATCATGCAGGATGGTTGTGAGAAAAAGGGTAGGGATCCTTGTACATACATGGTGTGTTGGGACATTTTTGGTGATCACAGGAATGGCTGAGGAACACTGAAGTTGTATATACAGGTTAGACCAGTTATTATGATCATTATTGAGCCCAGTTAAGGAGGGTTCCAATGATCCTAGGAATGGTTGCGACTTATGAACCACACACAAGTGTCTTGTGCATCATTACGTTATTGGAAACTTCGCTGTGTCAGGTTAAAGATTCTCGTGCAAAGTTAGAGTCGAGGGGCAGCCCTAAGCAATGACTTGAGCAAGATGTTTCAGAGGAAGTTGCAGATAACTTGCAATTGCATATGCACATAAAGTCTTACTCATTGGGCAATATCTCTCATAGTTTTTGATTGGTGAAGTGTGATGAGACATCAGCTCAGTAGACCTACATCCAGATCTTCTGATGGAACTGAGATGTGGAATACATGGACATAACCTGTTACAGTTGTTCTAAAGGATTTCTCTTTACATTCTTGTAGGGATTGTAAGGACCCATGATCTATCTATTGAGATTGCTATTACCTTGGAAACTTCTTGTTTACATACACTCTTTGCTATGATCTTACTGCAATTTTCAGTTTCAAACTTTACCGCCTTTTTATGACTTGAAGATCAGATTTTCCAAGTGAGAAAAGATTTAAAACTGAGTTGAGCATCATCTGTCTTATGTTACCAACAAAGGGATTTGGAAAACCAAGCACATTATATATTTTCGTGTGAGAGGAAGACAAAGATGGATACCTTTGTTGTCACCTTCCAGCGTGCATGCTTCACTTTATATTTCCAGAATTCATGATTAACAAGAACATACTGAAGGGAGAAAACAACAAGTGCAAGAACAACATCATTTTCAATTCCAATCTCCACGAGCCTCATTGTGAAGTCTAGCACTGCAAAATCATAAACCACAAAAGTTAAATACAGTTGGAAGGTTGCTTTTCTTAAAAACCAATCAATTAGATTTCCAAGGTTATTAAAATTTAATGAATGACAAGTTTTTCTCGAGGAAACAAATAAGAAGATAATTTGTCAAATGATACCACAAGGAACAGATAAGAAAAATCTCAATAGTAAGTTGTGAGAAGAAACCAAATTACACAAAACATGAAGAGCATTACATGGAACATGTGTTGGAAAATACGGAAATTTCAATCCAAAGATTAGGTTCAGAGCAGTTCTCCAATCCCACCTAATAAAATTTGAACTTTTTGTGTGCGCCAATTTCCCAAATCATATCCTACTAGACAAACAGAGCATGTGATACAGCACCTAATCCACCTTAATAAGTACAGATGTTTAGATTCAATACAGAATAGATTCATTCAGTTATTAAAAATAGAGATTGCTGCCACTGATAGTGTCTAAAATGAAATCGGTTACTAGGAAATCTAACGAGATTTCAAAATACAGCTAATCAAGCAATGGTATTGTTAATTGAGCCAAGAAAAAGGACAAATAATACACAGTTAGCATTTGTAACTCAAAAATATATGCAAAATCTTTCCATTAAAGGAACCAATACTCTTTCATGTGTTATTGGAAGGGGTAAATTGGCCCCAGGGTGTTGGGAGACAGATAGAAAGGAAGGATAGTTGCAGAACCACTGAGATTAAGGCTCAAGCTTAATTGCTGAACCAACTCCACTGTGTAAGCGTTAACACTTTCATTTCAAATCAAAGATTAAACAAACTGATAATAAGAGAAAGGAAAATAACTTGCCCGAAAGTGTCAGCGAGCAATCACTTTGTTCACAATCAATCAAGAGCATCTTGGCAAGCCTTCCAGAAAGCAACCACGATCCACTGAAGCAATTCAAGTGGAAGTAACCGCAATATAAGTTTCCTTTGATTTTCATATATACTATGTGCACTTGTGCATGAATTATGACTTGCATGCATGCATGCATACATATATACATACATGCGCGTGAGAAATGCAGGACGAATTAAAAAAATAGAAAGAAGAAGCAAGAAAGAGGGGACAAACCGGAGAAGAAGCAGAAATTCATGGGGGAGGGGGGGAGGGAGAGGAAGGAGAAGTCATAGGCAACAAACCACCAAAATATTCTTCAATTCATCAAAATTAATGAAATTACATCTCAATTAGGTTTAAATAGTAAAGACTGAAACCCTAAGTAGAATGGACTTGGGCCAACACAAGCCCAATTACATAAATAAAATCTAAAACATAAATAAAGTCCAACTAAAAATAAATAAAAAGTAGATGTCCTCATCAATTCTCCCGGGGTGGGAGAAAAACTCGACCCCGTCGAGTTGATAGATAGTATAGGCTACAGTCAATCTGATACTCCAAATGCGTCAAGTCAAGCTACGGGAGACGATCTTTCTGATGAACCAAGTAACGAAATTTCATGATTGATAGTACTGAAAACTGTAGCTTATTCCCAAGAATATGATCTGACCAAGGGGGGCGATCTTTCCTTCTAACAAAGTACTGATACTGGACTCCAAATAACCAATACTCATGCACCTCATCTTCAAGATTTTCACATAAGTGTATATAATGAGGAGCATAAGAAGCACGTCGATCTACCCAACAAACAAGGAAGTACCGAATCTTGCCATCATTGGTCAATACAACACGTTCATCTAAAATAACATCAATTTTATCTTTGTGTGCTGTGATAGATGGTATTGAAGTAGAAATATCGACATAATCAAATTGGGGGTCCATAAAGCTAAGTAGAATTAGATCATCAAAGGAAGTAACATGGTATTTGTAAGTAATGAAGTCCTCAATATTTAAAGCAGAGTGGTAGCCAAAATGTGATGAAAGGGCAATGACATGTGCATATGAACCAACATCTTTAAAACTTTAAAAGTACCGGCTTGCAATATAACATAATCCCCAATATTAAATTCAAAATATCGTTTATGCAAATTAGCTTGAGGTTTATATAAAGCATTACTTGCGTCATGTTGTTTATTGATCTCAATATGCAAGTTATGAAAATGTGATACAACTACCTCAACTGACATAAACACACTAGCATGTGGGTACATGGGAATAAGGTCTAAAGGTTTCCTAGGTTCACAACCATGAATAACTTCAAAGGAATTTAGACCTAAAGACCAGTTCACAGGATTGTTATATGTAATTTGAACAGTTGGAGGAATCAAGTCCCAATTCCCAAGATTTTTCTGGACTAGAGACTTGAATAAATTGCTAGGACTTTGGTTAACGACTTCATTTTGACCATCAGTCTGGGGTTGGTCTACAGTGGAGAATTTCGATTTAGTGCTAACCATAGGCAACTGGGTTCTTTCAAAGTGAATAGGGAAATCATGGGATACAGAATCTGGAGTCCCAAGAAGAGCCTGGATGCCACCTAAGGAGGTGTCCTCACTATCATCATCAAAATCTTCAAGTTTAGGGTCATATGCTAGATCTTCAACGACTCTTCCATTGTATTCTTTCGTTCTTCTATGACTAAGGCTCGATTAGGACATTTGGAAGAGATGTGGCCAAAGTCCTTACAGCTAATGCATAGCAAGTGAGAAGTTTTTGGAGTTTCAAAAATTATACCCTTATTTTTCAAAATTGGAGGAGCATTAGACGGGGGAGGTCTTAGAAGGGACTTAACAGGAAGAAGTGGAGCCAATGAAACCGAAGGATGATTGTCATTACGCTTACTACATGAAGAAGATGACCTTGGACTATCACGACCTTTACACTTGTTTTTCTAAAGGGAAGGAACACTAGACTGGGAAGGCTCTATGATAGACTTATGATGAGATGACGCTAATGAGATGGGTGAACGATGGTGATCACGCTTTTCATATGCAGTACTAATAAGTAACTCGTAGTCCCGAGCTGAAGAATAAGCTTGATCAAGAGTAGTGATGCCTCGAAAGAAAAGCTCACGCCTAAGTTCATCTCGTAGACCTTGTATAAACCTATTTAAAGTCAGGGCCTCATCCTCAACGACATGACATTTCACTCGAAATTCCTCAAATTGAGCAATGTACTCAATTACTAGCCGATTCTCTTGTGTAAGGGTGCTCCATTGGGCAAAAATTTCATGATCTAAGCAACCATCGAAAGTAGGAATATCTAAGTCAATATCTCTAAAGAAACGCTCCTTACGACGAGGAAGAGAATGAGTATCATAATGACCATGGCCTTGTTCTCGCTCACGAACCTGATCCCTATTCCTACGATCGCGTCGAAAATATTCTTGATCACTTTGTTCACGATGATATTGTCTATTATGAAACGCTTTAGAATTAGTGTCAGTCAAACATGAGGTCAAACAAGAGGTTCGCTTAAAATTGCTCAACTTAGCAGCTAGGGTCTTTCTCTCCTCACGAGTAGCAGTTATATCTGATTAGACAGTCGATAGGCTAGTGGCAAGTTGCGCTAATTGTCTAGTGAGTGCATCATATTGGGATGGATCCATGGTCAATGTATTGGAAATAAAGACGACCACCACGCAACTACATGCAATGTAATACCAGCTAAATGATGTGCTATGATGAGGTCAGTGAACAATACGTGCAAGCAATGGAAAATAACTTGTACCAATTTTTTTATTATTTAATTTTAAATATTGGGATTAATTAAATCCAAAACAAGCTAATACTGCCGGTACATGTAAAATGGCAAAGCAAGGGTCAACACACTAGTCAAAAAAATAAAGACGACCACCACGCAACTACATGCAATGTAATACCAGCTAAATGATGTGCTATGATGAGGTCAGTGAACAATACGTGCAAGCAATGGAAAATAACTTGTACCAATTTTTTTATTATTTAATTTTAGATATTGGGATTAATTAAATCCAAAACAAGCTAATACTGCCGGTACATGTAAAATGGCAAAGCAAGGGTCAACACACTAGTCAAATTCTCCAATCAATTTAAGTAAGGAACAATGGATGTCAATTCGATCACTGGTGTTAATTCGATTAATGGTTTCGATCAAGTAGGGTTTAAAGCTAAAATTATCACGATAACAGCAGCACAAGATTTTAATTGATGCAATTTTAAAAATGAAGCAGCAGTATAAACCAATACAAAATAGAGATCAAGGACTCCCTGTTGTTTAGTTTTGATTATTTGTATGCCAATTGATCTGAATTGCCGACTTATGAGCCCCAACTATGCTTTTGTTCTTCCCTTCGTGTCCAATGGTTTTAGCCCCTGTTGACTGTAACTTGTGCTGGTTTTGGTGTGGACGTAAAACTGTGTGTGGGCTAAAATTATCACGATAACAGCAGTACAAGATTTTAATTGATGCAATTTTAAAAATGAAGCAGCAATATAAACCAATACAAAATAGAGATCAAGGACTCCCTGTTGTTTAGTTTTGATTATTTGTATGCCAATTGATCTGAATTGCCGACTTATGAGCCCCAACTATGCTTCTGTTCTTCCCTTCGTGTCCAATGGTTTTAGCCCCTGTTGACTGTAACTTGTGCTGGTTTTGGTGTGGACGTAAAACTGTGTGTGGTGACTGTGGCTTTTATATTGTTGAGATGGACGAGGAAATATATGAGTGTGGTAATTGTGGTGGAAGTGTATGATCTTGGGTTGGTGGTGGTGGCCTATGGCGATGAAGCGGTAGTGCTCTGGATGCCTGGGTACAATAGATAATGAAGTGGTGGCGTGATGGTGATTAGAGGCGGCAGCGGTAAGAGAGTGGCTGTGAGAGAGAAATCGGGTGAAACTGTAGGGTATTTGATGTTAATGGATTGGTTATAATCGGGCTTGGTTGGATATTTGGGACTGGGCCAGATGTGAAGGGGTTTGGGTCCTGTTATAGAGATGGGCCAGCTGGGGTTAGTGTTTGGGGAGTGGGCCTGGGGTCGTAGAGAATAGGCTGGGTTAGTTGGGCTAAATGTGCTTGAATGCTAGGATTTGAGATTTGTGGAACAACACCACAATTTTTTTAATTTATGAGCAGTAGTAGGAAGAAAAAAAGACGAGATTTTTTTTTTGGGACGTGAACAGTACCCGTGAACAGTAATTTATTTATTTATTTTTTTTTTTTTAAGAAACTGACCAAAATACTAAACTGAAATTCTAGGTGAACCGTACCCGCGATGAACAATAACTTTTTTTTGGGGGTTTGGGTCCTGTTATAGAGATGGGCCAGCTGGGGTTAGTGTTTGGGGAGTGGGCCTGGGGTCGTAGAGAATAGGCTGGGTTAGTTGGGCTAAATGTGCTTGAACGCTAGGATTTGAGATTTGTGGAACAACACCACAATTTTTTTAATTTATGAGCAGTAGTAGGAAGAAAAAAAGACGAGATTTTTTTTTTGGGACGTGAACAGTACCCGTGAACAGTAATTTATTTATTTATTTTTTTTTTTTTTAAGAAACTGACCAAAATACTAAACTGAAATTCTAGGTGAACCGTACCCGCGATGAACAATAACTTTTTTTTTTTTTTTTGGGAAGAACTATGAAGAAGTTGGAAAAATAATAACTTGACTGCTCATGCTAAAAGTTTATTTATTTGTGCTGTTCCACAAGTTCTTGGGAAAGAAATATGAAGAGATTTTTGGATTGGAGATGAGAGATTACCCAATTTTAGGCTCTCATACCAAATTTGATGCAGCACCAATGGGACAATTAATTGAGAAATAGAACAGATCTATAGGGAGAGGGAATTAAAGAGAAGAATGGGGAATTAGGGGGGGGAAGAAGAAGAATTTAACAGAAGAGGGCAGAATAAGGGGAGGGATGCGCTATAAGCCACCAAAATAATTATTCATTCATCATTCACTGAAAATTACAATGCAAAATAAGTTTAAATAGTAAAGCAACCCTAACGAGCTTGGGCCCGAGCCCATACAAGTCCAAATTTAAATAATAGTTCAAAAAAATAAATAAAATAAGTAAACGTCATCCGATGTCCTCATCAAAAGGAATTAGAGATATAAAAATGTATAAGAACAGAACCCAAAAAAATATGCAAAAAGCAGAACCTTTTTAGCTTATAAACCTTACAAATGCTAAAATCTGCAATTCGATATATAAGAATAAATCTCAGCAGATTCACCTTGATAAACCATTCGAGCTAACATTAAAGGGATTCGTCTTCAAGGCAAGATCAAATATATTTGAATTCATCATCATTGTTGCTAATTGAAAAGGCAAGCTGCATGGAAATTTGGGGAAGAGGTTAGGCAATAATTAGAATATAGGAAAGTGAAAAAATGACAATGGTGCAAAGTTCTTGATGAACTAGAGAGGCTGTATCTAGATTTGCGCAATTCATGTGCCAAAGCCCTATACCACGATAGTGACACCTAGTGACACTTGACCATGACAATACAAAGGCGTATCATTGATTCCTGTTAATTGTTATTTAACTGATACATTCGAGAACAACATATCAACATTTTTAGACAGCTGGTTCAGAGAGTCAAAGACATTATTTGTTCAATATTTAATCTTCTGTTGTAAATATAGGATCATTAACAGGTAAAGACAGTAAGTGAAATACATGGAAACTTGAGATGACCAAGAGAAATGCCATGTTTACCATTTTAACATTTTTGACAAAATAGTAACTCCCATGGACATCATTATTGCACCGTTGCAGTTGGGAGGTAGGCTTTTGACCAAAGCACATAAGATCTCAACCACATTAACACTGCAGCCAAAAGACGAGGATTTAAAACTTAAACCCAGAAGCAAACAAGTCCAACGTAAAATAGAGAAGAATAATAAACCACAAGACAATGAAGAAATGCAAATTTCAAGATTTCTACAATGGATATTTTTCTGGTTTTCCTGCTGAAGTTACTTCACCGCACGAAGAACTCCCAGCATCCATTAGAGCATAGCATATGGCCTGCAAATCACAAGATATGACTAGTTCGTATTATAATAACAACAAAATTCAAAAAATAACCTTAAAGAATACTTCTACACTATCTTTCAAGCCAATATGAAGGAGTAAATGCTGCTCAAGAAGTAAACAGAGATGTCTGTAAATGGCTTGTTCCTCCACCAATATGACATTTACCATCTTGGTAGATAAATGGGACATTATCAAGGCATCATTCCTCAACAACTACCTCCCAAATCCACAAATACACCCTTCTACCCCCTCATCCCAAACAAGGGGAAAAAATTATGCTAAAGAAGAAAACAACTTATTCACTTCCAAATACGGACCATCAGAAAAACTGCAAACTTCAGCCAAGATAAAAAGAATTGAAGCAAACCTTGTTTTGTTATCCATTGCAGCAGCAATGTTTCTCTCATTATGCTAACTATATATGGATAATAACTTGACAAGAGCATAAAAAGCTACAGTCAAGTGGCATGTCTAAATCACTACAACTCACTATATGCTTTCATTAATTACTCAATGAATATTAATCAACTCAACAAACCAATAACCAACAATAGATGGATAAAGATTTTCTTAACTTTGTACATATAGAATATCACACTGACATGCACATTTGAGAGCTATGTGAATTTAATGGACGCAAAAGAAAAAGTCTTCGACAATATGTCAACAGACAAGAATTGTCAACTTCAAAATAGTTTACCATGTTAAAAGTCACTAATCGACTCAGCAAATCAAGAGTAACAGTGCTCTCCTCAAAGCTTTTCAAATACACCTCTTGACCCAAACGCAGAAGAAGCACAAGCACTCCAGATTCAGTGTACTGCGCAAAATAATCTAAACCTCAATAAAACAAGAAATGAGAAAAGAAGTGAGGGAAAAAGCTACAACTCCAAACAGTTATTATTAGAATACGTCACAATGCACATTAAAATCATGATCAACAAAGAACAATTACAATGCCATGAAAATACAATTTTTAGCACAACAAACATAATCTAAACCAGAACTTATGTAATAACCTGCTGTCGGAAACTTTGAGGTAAAAAAAGTTACAATCCTAAGTAATAATATTAAATCAGTTACAAGCGGTGCATAATATGTTAAAGAGCAAAAGGAGAAAAAAAAAAGTCAAAACATGCAATCAAATTCCATACAGGCCACTATTGCACCACAAACCTTGGGCAGAAAATTGAAGTTAGCAAAACCATGCAACCCCATTTCCCGTATGTGTAAAGATGACAAGAACAGAAGTAAGGAATTAGAAAACAAATAACAAGCAAAAAACAATGAGGACCCCAGCAAACTTCAGCATTGATTGCCAAAAATGAGAAGTTTAGAGGAGGGTAGAGCTAGCATTGAATCACTTAACCCTACTGTTACCCCACCCAAATTGGGGGAAACAGTGCGAGGGTATCCTGTACGAGTAAAGATGACTAGAACAGAAATAAGGAATTAGAAAACAAATAACAAGCAACAATCAATGAGAACCCCAGCAGACTTCAGCATTGATTGCCAAAACTAATAAAGTTTAAAAGAGGGTAAAGCTAGCATTGCATCACTTCACCCTACTTTTATCCCCACCCAAATTGAGGGGAAGTAGTGGAAGGAGGATATTCTCCTGGGAAGATCCTTTCAACTCCTATTGAGGACTCCAGCTGACTTCAGCATTGATTGCCAAATTGAGAAAAATTAACAGAGAATGGGGTAGAGCTAGCATTAGATACCCTTCATCCCACTGCTGCCACACCCTACAGGGAGGGAAATAGGGCAAGGAGAGTATTATCCTAGGAAGATATTTTCCACTCCTATTGAAGATCTTCACACCCAAATATACATGCAGATGCAGTGAGAACTATAAAGTATAAACTACTATAATCCAACTTCTTTTAGTCTTTAAAATTTAACTATTTTATTTTTATTTTTTTTTCCTTTTAGTAAAGACTTTAGTATATACATAGATCTAGAAGAGAGAAGATTTGGTCTATCTAAATTCCCTTTTTTCTCTCTCTCATATCCTGAGAAATGTTGTTATGGATCAAATGAAAATCATGTAATACCAAGAGCAATTATAACATGAGACAATAGCCAAAAGCAAGTATATAACATGCGGTTTATCACAACCACTTGCCGATGTGACAAAGAAAAGGAGATCATAATATTTGTATCTGAACTCAAGCCTCTCTATTACGTTCTCCTTACACATAGACAGAAAAAAGATCAGTTGAGAAACCTTATATATAGGAAAGAAATACCAAAGCAACTTAATACATGTGCAATCTGCCACATATACCCTAGAAAAAGGTTTGTCCAGCCTTTTTATATAAGGAGGTAATATTAGGGCAACCTAATACACGTGCAAAATGTCCAATATACCCCCATAAAGAAAGTGAACAGTCACATCCAACAAGAGTTCCGTTGCTTCAGAAGGAAATGCAGAGTTACATGAGTTGACTTTTTTAATCAAGAAGAAGAAAACATTTGTCAAAGACATAATTTAAATTAATACATGTGACCCCTTTCTAGCAGCTTAAGCTTTTTGATGAAATGGTTAACAATATTGGTTGTGGTCTTCTTAAACCTTAGTCATTGCACGGCATATAGAATGCTAATTATTCCTTGTGACTTTAATAGAGAAAACCATTTCAAATATTAAAATTAGATGAAAACTAGATATCATTATCTGTTAACAGATGAAAACTCTAAATTATGTGCTTGTTTGTGAGAAATTATGAAATTATAATGAAAAGGAGTAGTAGATCCCACAAAAAGTGTGGATAATAAGTAGGCAATAATTGTGCATATGTAGAGGAAATTAATGTTTGATTTTGACTGCAAATTATACTGAGATTATAATTTTTTACAATGATGCATTCAGCATCTGCATCCAAAAAATAGTAGAAACTCATCACAAAAAAATTTGACAGCATATTATTACATGACATGAGAATACTGAAAAAATCAAACAGAGTGGACCAAAATCAAAAACTAAACTCATTGTTTACCTCCCACCGTACTAGAGCAGTATTACTGTTGATCATTCTTAACACGTGACCGCGAGATCTACTGGGAATTACAAACCCTTCAACACCAGGAAGATGCACAGGGAGGCGCGCTTCAACAATCTTTGAAGAAGCATCCACAACAGAGTTGCTACTCATCTCAAATGGAGATGATAAGCCAACTGATTTATCAAGAAAATTAAATCTGTTGAAGAAGACGTATATTAGTAGACGATTCCAAAACAACATATGCTAGTGTTTTGGCCAAATTCCAGGTGGAAAGAGATAAAATCCAAGGCATTATATTAAGGGAGAAAAACTTAGATCTTTACTTTCCATTGGTTTAGAAATCGATACATTGCATTTCAATAACCACACACTTAATTGCCAAAAAAATAATAAAAATAAATAATATCTCTTCATTTTTTTCAAATTAAAGCTGAACCCATGTTATGCTTCAATCTAAATACAAACCATTTAATTAGTTCCTTTTTGAGACACCTCGCCTATGTTTTAGATATACATAATGGGAGTCTTAGGTATAACATTTTTTTTGGTTGGGTTTGCAGGGCTGGGAATTTGATGATTATGTGCTACTTTTGACATCTTCATACGAGGTACACATCAGGACAGGAGAGGGTGATTGTAGCAGGTGGAGGTTGACAAGAGACGGTATATTTTCAGTTGACACTTATTTTATATCCCTATCACGACTGTCGGAGAGTTCATTGTATGGAAATGTAAACGTCGAATAATCTTCGAACAAGAGGCTTCTATATTACAAAGTGGTGCTATATGTATAGGAGGAATGGGGAGACGATTGACCATTTGTTTCTTCATTATGATGCTGCTCGTTTACTGTAGAACGCTATTCCGACGTCGCAACACATGAATTGGGTGTTGCTAAGGCGTATGGAAGACATGTTAAAGGCATGGAGAAGAAATTTTTGTGATAAAGATGGTAAGCTTGTATGGGACCTTATTTTAGGTTGCATCGTATGGTGTGTGTGGAGAGAAAGAAACAGCCGCTATTTTGATAATTAAATACGGAAAACAGAGCAAATTAGAGAATTATTTTATTTAACATTGAATAATTAGTTTAATGCTATGGCTACTAGACAAATAGACGGACTGCCAATTTCTTGTTGTTCCTTTCTGGTTTAAATTGATAGTACACTTTTTGTATATTATGCATTGATTAATAAAATACTTGATTGCCTTTAAAAAAAAGTTAATTAAATCTTAAATCCGTTTCCCCAAAGCTAAAATCAGCCCCATAGTAAAATAGCTTTAGATCTACCCCTGGCTTGCCATGAAGACCAAATAGAGAGTGCCATAGTGTTGATATGTGCCCTACACCTGCAATCCTTTATTATACAAAGAACATTGCACAAGGTAAGAAAATGGAAGAAACACAATACCAAGGTCACACTTACGCGCATTCGGCCGGCCAAGCTCCTTCTGAAAGGGCTGATAAGAACTGCACAAATTCAATAGTCCTGAATGGAAACTCACCCTCCAAATTGCAAAGAAGACACCGAATAGGACCATCGACGAAACTCTCCCTGTCCCAAAACTGAATGCAAAGTGACTCCTGCACCATATCAATGATCTATAAAATAAACAAGAAAGAGGATATAATGCCTCTTAAGGTCTTAAAAAAATTAGTTATCCAAACCTCTCCTCGATAGATTTTGCAAAGGATTTCCAGAATTACTTTTAGATTTTTATCCTCAAACTGTACCATAGAGAAAGTGGGTTCAAATTGTTAGCACGTGCTACTATTTGCAAGTATTTGCATAGTGAAATACCTGGAGACTGATTTCATAAGATGCAATAAATGAGGATATAAATGTTCTCAAAACACTTTTGTAACCTGCAATAGGACCCTGAAAATAGGAGACAAAGGAACAGTCATTTAAAAACAATAGTCAAACTAAACATGCATCAAAACAGGATGGAAGTACGAAGCAGAAAATGAAAGAGTTAAGCAGTGAACTACATGGAAGAAACAATGTAAACTAGCAACGAGACACCTAAATACATTCACAACCATCAAGGGAGATTTTACTCACATCAGAATCCTTCAATGTAGCACTTTCAAGAATTTCAAGAAAATAACTCAAAGATGAAACCTCAAAAGCTTGACGAACATAACCAATGTGATCTATCTCCTGACACAAATCAACAGGAGAGACAGCAATGAAAATATATTGTTCCAGAAAAACACAATAAATTTGTTGATGTGACATTCTAATAATATGTACCATCAGAAAATTATTCTCATCTTTTTCCGGAAGAGAAGAAATGAGACAGAGAAAAACTGCCCACGTAAGGATCAGAGGGCCTGCTTCTTTGGTCTCAAAAGCACTAAAACAAGATATTATTGAATCCATTTCTTGAACATCAGTTATGGAAAAAGCAACAGAACCCTGCCTGAGTAAAAATAGCAGATATTCAGCGACCATAGAAGGGGGGGAAAATCTTCGTATCTATTCTGAATATACAAGAGTACACAAAGATCATTATGTACAGGTCGATAAGTTCAATAAACAACATTCCTAGGCATATGGGCCCACCGTCTCTAGCTGTAACAATAGCTAATTTAGCACTTAATAATTTGTGGTGCACTCAAATTGACATGATGCACCAAATAATATTAAGAATATGATAACTAATATCATTTAAACACAATTATAATATAGAATAATGAATTCAAATCAAACGTCTGCTCACACATTTCAAATCTTCTGCAACTACTGTCCCAGATGCGTGTCCAATTTTAAAAGAATTCCTTACACCAGTTCTTCTTTTCATGAGTCCATTGCATAATAGGGTCTCGAGAGAAGAACATGATGTCAAAGAGGGTAATGGAGAGACAACTAATCCCATCCCCCCCCCCCACGTCAAAAAATTCCCGATCATCCTTGACCTAGAATGGTGATCTCGAACTCCTGGTGGAACAATCTAATTTGCAGGCAAAAGATAATACATCTTTTGTATTAACTTAATTATAAAAATAGAAACATTGCGGTCATGTTATAAAATATATAGCCATTACCACACATGTAATATTTGACAGAACTAGTTCCCACAAGTCTCACACATAATAAGCCTTCAATACATTCATGGTCCCTCAATTGAGACCAATCACAAATTTTGTGTAGCAACAAGAGACCTACCTCAAATCAATAACTCCCTTCAGCCACCCCAGGACGTCCAATCACCACTGTTACACTTTTTGATCTCAGCCCAAGGTAGTCATGAACAATGAAGGGCAACATTGTAAGAGAAAAAGGTGTTGGTCTAAGGGATTTGTTGCTAACTTTCTTTTGCTATTTGCTCTGTTTATTTTGAAATTGTGGCTATCAACGTGCACAGAAATGGAAAACAAATGTGAGGCGACAGGATAGCATTTAACTTATATTGTGTATGTGGCTCATATAGAATGGAACACAGGTTCCCTTTACAAAGATATTTTCTTGTACGGGCCTTAAAGTCTTTTATGGGCCTAAACTAGAGTTAATATAAATAATATGTTATAACCCTATTTTTCACTACTGAATAATATTATCTCCCTTTTGCTCTCGTGGACGTAGGCACACTGCCGAACCACGCAAATTCTTGTGTTGATGTCTCTATTTCATCTCTTTATTATTGCGCACTAAATCCAACAACTTATTTTTTTCAAGACTTCAAAAATTACTACTACGTTTTTTTCCCTTATAAACATCTAGCAAATTGAATATCTTAAAAAAACTTCAATTATTATGCACTACACACTAGTGTGAGCCCCTACAACACTTAAATTCTCAAAACAAACACTCTCAAACTCTCCCATTTGTTCCCACTTTCTGTGCTTGTGCTCTTAGTATGTAACTTGCATGATCTAGATACTCAAGTTATGGCGCATAGAGAAACTTTGAATTCTCTATCATTGACGAACAACCAATATATCAACAATGCACGAATATAACAGCTTCATCTATCTGTTTCTGCACATGCTTTCCCTCATTACATGCTTTTACAAATGGTTTTTTGGTTAATTCACTTTCCTAAAGGTTTTTAAATCTACTGTCAGAATTCATTTTTTATTTTTTTTATTTTTTTTTTTAAGTCTTACTGTTAGAAAAAAATTAACTTGACATGCAATCCAAGTATAGATGACAAGAAAGGGAACTAAAAAATTGCTCAAAAGTCAAAACCTGAACGGAATTTCATCGTGGACCATTTGAAGGAGATTTTCCAGGTCCAAAGCCTCTATGAGAATAAGTAGCAGCTGCACTTTGGAATGATAGATAGAACGCACTGCTTCAGGTGATATTGCCAGTTTCCCAAAGTTGTATGAACCAGTAATGATGTCCTGAATTTGATCGAGCACAAATTAAAATAGAAGGGAAAGAAAATGATGGCAAATGACAAATGCAATCACCTCAATAAAAGATTACCTGATAAAGCAAGCACAATCTTTTCCAGCATTTGGCATCACAAGTACAAAAAGACTCGTAATAAGCCAGGAAAAGAACCTCCAGGATCAAATTCTCTTCAATAAGAATCTCCTCAGCCCATAGAGTGTAGAGGTCAACATCCTGTGAGGCACGTCCTCAGATGTACGTTAAGATTTAGGATAAGACATATAGGAAGCAAAAAGAACAATAAGTTAATATCTAAAGTGTGTAAGCCAAACTCTAGAAATTAGGTGAAAATCTTTAGCATCAATCTTCAAATCTTCCAATCAAACTTACCATCTGCTCAGGGTAGTTGGCAGATAGAAGGTCCTGGAAGACGGAAAGTAATTTACTTTCAAGTCCATCAGAAATCAACCTCTGAGCCTCCTCTAATACACCAGACCCTTCTGATCGTCTTCCAAGATATACTGTATTAATACATCAACATTACCACGTGACGAAAATGTGTATCATCATATCTTTAATATTATCGATGAAGAATAAAATGAATACACCAAGATTAGACCAAATAGGATGAGAACTAGGAAGGAAAGATTGTATTGACAAAAAATGGTTTGAGTTAGTGATGAGGACATCCAGTTTATTTATTTCATTGGACTTTTATTTTGTTTATTTTAGTTGGCTTATTTTTATGGACTAGTGTAATGGGCTTGACCCTCACTCTTTAGGGTTTATTTTGTTATTTAAATTTCTTCTTCCTATTCATTGATTTTCTCTTTTTCTATTAATTTTCCAGTTGGTGCTACATCAGTTAGCAACCCAAGTTACCCCTTACTTTTGAGTGAAACTAAAAATAATATAAAAAGCAAGTTTTTTTTTGTTTTTTTTTCTTTTAACAAAAAGTCACTAAACAAATTAAAGCTTCATTTAGGAGAGATTTTTTCAAAAATCATTTTTCCCCAAAATCACTTTCAACCAAACATATTATGGGACCAATAACTTTTCCATACTTTTTAACAACGTATTCTCCAAAAATATCATTTTTCACTTGAAAAAATCTCTCCCGAGCAAAAACAAATGTTAAATTAACCGTGTGATAAAAAATTAGATTTGTTCTTAGGATAAGAGTGAAACTGTGAAAGCTCATTAATTAGATGTCGGCAAGAAGAAATTGGTGTTAAGGTCTGCTCTGGCACTGAACAGTAACTTCAGTTTTGAAATTCTATCTGCAAGCTAATGGTCAAGTACTGCCAAGTTAAACAGGTAGGCTTTGTTGATATGCCTTACATGAGTGAAAGACTGACCCGATTTTTTACTAGCATGATAAAGCTAAATTTGCAGATATATAAGAACAAAATAGAAGAATGAAACCTCAAAAGGATAATCAACAATCGCAATAGGGATTCTCATATATAAAACTCCGCTGATAACATTTTCCTTGGTTAAGTGATTTCCTCCCATATACTAAGCAACAGTAGTAAATCTGATGCTATTAACAGTAGCATAGAAATTCTAATAAACGTAACTGTTTATCCCATTTTTCTAAGGTTAAAAAGTTCCCATGCTCTAAGCATTTAGTTTAAATAAGAGAAGCAAAGAGAAGCTTTGCTAGCTATCTTGAATAAATTTGCAATATTGTTAGTGAAATAATGAAACTAATTGTTTCTAATAACTTCTTTGCATATTGAACACCAAAAGTATATATTCCCGCTTCCTGTACACACTATTTCTGCAATCGGTAGCCAACATTTCAATCAATTTAGAACTCATCAAGTCTACCAAAAGTCCACCATTTTTGAGAACTACCTCATATCTACCATTCTTTTGTTTCTCCTAAATTGTTTGAAAGAAGTTTGTATGAAACATGCTATTTTTTAGCCATGTGCTTGTATCCTATATTTTAGAAGTTTGAAAGATGTACCCAAGTTAGCAACCCAATACTAGACCAAACAGGATGAGAACTAGAAAGGAAAGTTTGAAAGACGTACCCATGTCCGAAATTTGAATTCTTTTTAGCCATATCCCCGTATCCTATATTTTAGAAAATAAATTATCCGATACTTAGATACGTACCTATACTCAAGTCTGAGCATCATAGCTTAATGGTAATAAATGAAACCTATAAGCATGCAAGGACTAATCTATACTGCTTTGAACCTCAAGTAAGATTCAGATTATAATAACTATAACACAAACCAACCTACGATTCATGGGAAATTTTTCTGATCTACGCCCAATGTTTAAGGTGAAAATACATGTGTAGCACCACAATCCTATAAATACAACACGTTCAACAGAAAAGAAAGAAAAAACTGCAATAAGTTGAAAAGGAACAATATGGAGACTCAATCCAGAAGCACGGATACTGCTTCAGCTTCAGGCAATAGATAACTCTTCTGCATCAAGGCTGACAACCAAAGGTTGTGATTCTATAGCTTGTGATTTTCATTCATCCAATTGATAGCTACTGAAGTTTACAGCAGGTTAAAATCTAGACAGAGACTGCATGAAGAGAGAAACACTTATCGCACATTGAATTAAATTACTAGCTCAGGAACATGACATCAAAGTTATTTTGCTTATGCATCTCAATTATGGCTGTTTCTTTTCTTTTCTTTTTTTTTTTTTTTTTTTTTTTTATGATAACTTAATATTTTATTATTTATT